TTGGACAAACACCTGTCAGGAATGATCTAGGTATACTTGGTCCTGCCTCAGCACACGGGACTGGACTAGATGACCTCTTGAGATCCCTTCCAGCCCTACAGCTGTGTGGTTCTATACACTGATTCCCACTGTGCTCAATTTATCACCACCACAAAGCACTCATTCAGCACAAAGCAGCTCTTGTGTTCCTCACCCCTTGATACCAGAGCATAGGCAACGTACAGCACACCCTCATTCCAACCAGTCCCTGATGAGGTCGGGCCACTTGGTGGCTATTGGTTTGGCAGCATTGTGTGAACTTCCACTGGGTGGTGGTCTTCCTGCTGCCTTTGAACTTAAGCAAGAGGGCACTGTGGTTCTGAAAATGCCATCTCTCAAGTGAGACATGAAGCCAGTGTCGTCCTCACCATTTGTGTTAATTGACGATCCCCTGAGTAGGTCTTATGCCTATCTATATTCCCCCCGCAGTCTCAGTTGGATACTATTGTGTTATTATTATGATGTATTTGCATCATGGTCAATGTGCCAGGGTTGTGTTAGGGACTGTATGAACATGGAAAGATGTGGTCCCTGCCCCAAAGAGAGCCCAGCCTGTTTTAAGACAAGACACTACAAGTGAATATAACCAACAAAAGGAGGGGATGGGAGAAGGTGACAAAGGTAACAATGGTTACATAAACAACAAGGAGTCTGGTGGCACCTTAGAGACTAACAGATTTATTTGGGCATAAGCTTTTGTGGGTAAAAACCTCACTTCTTCGGATGCATAGAGTGAAAGTTACAGATGCAGGCATTATATACCGACACATGGAGAGCAGAGAGTTACTTCGCAAGTGGAGAACCAGTGTTGACAGGGCCAATTCAATCAGGGTGGATGTAGTCCACTCCCAATAATAGATGAGGAGGTGTCAATGGTTACGTAGATTAGCTCTGAGCACAGTTTGGCAACATTAAGGCACTTAGAGATATTTTTAATTACTATAAGATACCTGTTTTATTTAGATTGGCAATCCCCATTGCATTATCAGCTGGCAATTCCCTACTGGCATCCCAATCGTAATGGCCCTTGAGAAAGGATTTGAAGGTGGAGAGGGTATTGGCTTGAGGTGAGTGGTCCATGCATAAAGAGCAGTGGGGAAGACAGCTCAGAGATATTTGTAGGGAAAGTAGACAGATGGGCGGCTGAGGCATGCAATCCTATTTAAAAGCAATAATTCAGTTTGAGCAGAGGGCCGATGCTGGATGCCTGTTTCTTCTAGTGTTGCTTATTCAAGGCTGGCAGCAGGTGGACAGTGATTAGGGTGACCAGATGTCCCGATTTTATAGGGACAGTCCCAATTTTAGGGTATTTTTCTTATATAGGCTCCTATTACCCCCACCCCATGTCCTGATTTTTCACATTTGCTGTCTGGTCACCGTAACGGTGATGCACTTCTGAGCGGGAGCACAGAGAGATTTTTGGCTCTTTGTGTGCTGCAGCGATTGAGAGTCACAGGAGCCACCCACTGAATCTGATGTGCCCTTTTCAGTCACTAGAGGGTGATACAGAACAAGTTTTAAATGCATATAGCAGAACATTAAGGACAAGTGTGGACAAGGCCTATGTTTGTAGTGAAATACTGTGCTTCCACCAGTCTCTTTGCAGGAATATGTGACAGTGTCATCAGCTATAACTGATACGATTAGTGTGCACCATCATTTATAGCAGAGAAGTGCCAGTTTTACAGACGGGAAAACTGAGAAACAGAAGTTAATCAACTTACCAGAGGTCACAGAGTGAGTCTGTACAGAGCCAGGAAGGAATGAAATCCAAGTCTGCTGACTCTCAATCCTCTGATTCAGCCACGAGACCATCTTTTCCCTCGGGGGAGCTTTCATTCTAAAATCTAACTTTCACTTGCTTACAACTCTCTGAGGAAAATCTTCCTTTTGTTCTGAAACATCTTGTGCTTGATCTCATCCCCGAAAGCAAAAGAGAATGTGCATGAAAATCTGTTCAGCCATTTACTTGTTATATTAATGGGGTGGGGAGGAGAGGTTTTCAACTGATTATTTTCAGATCTTCTTCCAATTTTTCATTATCCCAGGCAGGGCCGCCCAGAGGATTCAGGGGGCCTGGGGCAAAGCAATTTTAGGGGCCCCTTCCATAAAAAAAGTTGCAATATTATAGAATACTATATTCTTCTGGGGGCCCATGTGGGCCTGGGGCAAATTGCCCCATTTGCCCCCACTCTGGGTGGCCCTGATCCCAGGGTGTACGGTTTTAAAATATCATATGTGGCCTGGAGGGAGTCCTCTTTGAGGAACATATGCTATCTCTAATCTGAAGCAATTGGGTTTTAAAATATCAGTTATGGCCATGTGAGAAGTAATGTTCCAAGCATATGACTCAGATCATGCCCTTCCCTGGAAAATGCTGTGCAGTGAGGAAGACATCCTATGAGGTTCCCAGGCCCCCATCTCTGCAGCTTTGTCCCCTAAGTGGGACAGGCCTGCACAACTGATATAGGCTGGTGGATTAGCAGGAGACTCAGGCCCAAATTTCACAGAACCTTGATCAGACCCTCTGATTTCATCCCAAGTACCTCTTCTCTGCACCCTGGCTTACTCCTGTGCCAGGCTGCCTATCCCTCTGCAGCTCCCCACTCTTATCTCCTCAGAGGGTAGGAGCGTTGATTCTGGTGTCTGAATGTAAAGCCCTATATCTATCCACAGAACAGGTACTGGCGTGGGCAGCATCTGTGTAATCAAGCCATCCCCCATGCTGTCCCACCAACATGCATTATCCTCTACCTAGGCAGGTCACTTCAAGGGCTGGGAGAAGCATTCAGTCTCTGTGGCCCATTCTGTGGTATGTACTGGACACTTCCTTTGCTGCAATCTTCCATTAGAAGTCCACCAGCTCATTTCATACCAGCAATAAGCAGCCATCCAGTAATAATGGTTTTCTGTCCCTGCCACTGTGGACTGCACATAAACCAGGGACATAGATATGAAAGGCTCTGTATTGTTACCTGGCCAGTGAGTACTCGGACGTTTTCACTGTAGCTTTTATGCTTCCCTCCTCTAACCAGTGGAGGGTCTTACTGCTATTTTACCTGGAATAAAAGCAGGGACTGTCAAATAAAGTTTTCCAGGAGCGACTGTGAATCAGCTTATGAGGACTATCTGGGGACTGAGCCAGCATTTCTTGGCTAGTGTACTAGGAAACAAGGTTGTCAGTACTGCATGTTAGCACTTGAAACAACTTAAAAGGAATATAATACAGGATCAACTTCATCCCCAGTGCAACACTACTGACTTCAGTAGAATTACAGCAAGGATAAATTTGTCCCACTGCATTCAGTAAAGCGGCTTAATTAGGCAAAGGCTCAGTTTATTTATTTTGTATCATTTTTATTAACCACTACTTAAAATTGCAATGAAGGTCAGAAAAGTGGCCATAAAAATGGCAGCCTCTAATCGTCTGCTGCCTGCGTCTTTGAGTTATAGCCGCTCCCCTTATGAACAAAGTCCTTTACTCCTCCCTGCCCTGCCGAGCCCATACAGCTACAGGCAGAGTGAACTGGATTCTCTCCTGCCTCTCATATTAACAACATTGTCAGCTGCATTCAAAGTGCAGAATCTTTATTACTGGGGAGGCAAAAAGAACATGGCTGGATTTTCAGATGCTGGGGTGCCGGGAGTTAGAAAAATTCTTCTTTTGATTGGCCAGCTGAGCAAATTTGATCCCCAAAAATGTCACTTCTTTGGCTATAACAGCACTCCATTTTTTTCTAAATCACATTAGGCACTTCCCTCTCTTTTCAAAGAGTATTGGTAAGACTTGGTTATCTAGTATTCCTTACAGACATTAACAGTGCCTGGGAAACCAATACAGTCCCTTTGGAAATATTATATACGCAGTAGAGCCTCAGAGTTATGGACACCAGAGTTACAAACTGACCAGTCACCTACACACCTCATTTGGAACTGGAAGATTCCAATCAGGCAGCAGCAGAGATTAAAAAAAAAAAAAAAAAAAAAAAAAAAAAAAAAAAAAAAAAA